CTCGCACACACTCAGCGTCACTTCTCCAGCTCTGATCAGGTCATCTTCTGACGTGCCACCTGGAGGGTCCAGAGCAGTGTTCTCCAGATTCCCCAGCCCTATCCAACAGCATTTGTGGGTATAAACTTGGAGGCATCAAACATTACCTTTAAACAAATGGATCAAAATTAATAAATTATTATTTGAAAATTGTTTACATCTGTTTTTTAACTGTCTATAAAAATAAAGATTGTGCAGGGAAAAATAAAATTCAGAATGACCTGAAATTCATAGAAAAGGTTAAAGGAAAAATGGCTTTTCTCTATTAGCTATCTCTGTTTCAGAGAACTAGACTCGAAAGGCTAAAGCTGGGAGAAGGTCAGAGCTATTGAGAGTGGGGCTGTGGGACTCCTTGATCCCTATTTCATGCTTAGAACAGAAAAACTATCACATGTGAAAATATAGTAGGATAAAATCTGAGTGTTTTAAATGAAGACCATTTGTCAGACCCAGGTAAACTCCATTCAAGGGAATGACAGAAACTTCTTCTCAAAGTCATGAAGATCAGAGTTGCCTCAAGCCTGAAAAATAGCCATTGTCAAGATTTTAAATAATGTATTTTAATATATATATGGGTAAATTTTATTTTGATCTTTTTCAAACTAAGAATGGATTGGTGTTAAATAGATGGTATGTGAGTACGTAGAAAAGGTGGGCACTGATAACCCAAATGGGCTCATCAGGAGTAAATTAAGCCATGTTAATGACTCAGCAGTCAGAGGAACTGCCCAGAGAGCTGAGTCAAGGGTAAAACTTAGGCCCTTGTGCTCTTCATTGGTCATGGCATAGCTTAGATTTAAGAGACTTTCTGGATGCAAACTTTTTTCTAAGAGACATAGTTTTGCTAGAGTTTTCAGAGGATGATGGAGTAGTTCATTAGAAAAGGTACCTGAGGGGGAAAAAAGACTATAAATACAGTATCATCAAATATTGGAACAGCTGCCATGTTCCATGGGAATGAAATCAGGTTATCTATGGAGTTAGAGGGCAGAACGGACCCTGGTGGGTGAAAGCAGCATGGAGGCTTATGTGGGCTTGATGGAGAGAGTGATTTCTACCGCACAGAACTGTCCAGGAACAGAAGCAGCACGCCTCGCGGTGGAGAGACCTCTCTGTCCTCGGAAGCGTTCAGGACCAGAGCAGGTGTATTGTCATGAAGAGAAAGTTCCTGAAAAGAGAGCTTGCTAACTGGGTGCCTTAGGCACAGGCCAACTGCAGGGTTCTATGATTCTCTGGTACCCATGGCTTAGTCTTTAAATAGTTCATTGCGAAGTTTTTGTGTGCTTGTCTTTACTGGATGTGACCTTTATCAGTAAATCATAGAGGCACCCATACCATCTCAACAGCTCCCTGCAACCCCCGTCAACTTCCCACAGATATACCTGACACATCCTCCTGATGCCTGAGCACCAAGCTTAGTTTCCTAGAATTCATGTGTCACTCTTACTGCACTGAACCCAGATAAGTGCAGGTCACCCCAAGGACCATTATATGGCCCTTATGGTCAGCTCCACCCCAGATACCAATAGTGAGCCTTCCCTCCACCTTTGCTTCAGATCTCAGTGCCACTGTGGGTGTGACTGGGCTCATCTTCCAGCTGATAGCACTGCAATACAGAGGACCCAAATTCCCCCTCCTTTATCCCCATCCCAACCTGGGCTCATCCGAACACTCCAAGGAGATGGAATTCCTGAGGAGGCTCTGCTATTGTCTCAGCCCCAGCCTCAAGAGGTCAAACTGAAGGTAGAGCAAAAGAAAGAGTGATAGTAGCTTTCACAGAACCAGAAGGAGAAATAGCAGGAGAACTTGTATTTCCGGGATGAATGTTTGTCCTTCTAAATAACGACTCCAGATGAAGTTGTCCTCGTTTCATGAGCTCGAAGTGACTAGGGCAAGACAAGTGATGCCTACATTTTTAGAATCCAATATATGGACTTGATTGTGATACGATCCCAGTCCTCACTGGAGGGGTTATATAACATAAAGGCTGTGCTTTATATTATTTTCTTAAAAGAATAACAAATTTTGACATTTTAAAAACATCTGGCCCCAAAGACTCAATAAGGTGTCATAAGCCTTTGTTATTTATAGCTTCTTGCTCCCCACTATCTGCAGAAGGTTCTAGTTTACCACTACTTTTTTGATTTTTGCTTTAAGCAAACAATGTAGGCTTTCAGGCATTTAAGCCAGTCTCATATTCCTCATCTGTAACAGTATAATTTTTTAAAATCTATATCATACGGTTGTTGGAAAGAAGCATTCAGTGAGATAGTGAGCTAATGTCAAGCAACATAAGAATCACTGAATTAATAATGGTAATGCATATTCATTATTTGTAAGATCTATCTCTTGTGTTTTGGGGTGCTTTAAAATGTACAAATGACTCACATGCATTATTATTCCATTTGATGTGCATCTTTTTTTTTTTGCATTCTCCCATCACTCTGGACTCAATCTTCCTTGCTTTCTTGAGAGGGCATTCTTAGCCCTTCTCTTATTCTCTGAGTATTCCTTCTCAGTCTACTCTCCCCTGTCTTCAAGGGAAACATGGATCTGCCCACAGCAACTCAATCCTCATACATATAGCTTTATTAAAAGAAACAAAGAAGTGTTTGGTCATGTCTTCCCTCTATCCACTCTTCCTACTTTCCTTGCCTTCCACAACATGAGCCAGCCCTCTGTCTCATCCACTGTTGTACATGCTCACATTCCATGCAGCCTTCAGCAAGAAACAATGCCATACTTATCAGAAAAAGAATAGTTTTAATCAAGATGCTGTCAACAAGATGACTTCTCTCATGAGATCAGCGCAGGGCACAGAGGTAATCACATCTCTGGCTCTTTGGGTCTACTTATTCCTTATTGCCACTTACAGCTCAAACTGAAGGTAGAGCAAAAGAAGGTGGAGTGACAGTAGCCTTCACAGAACTGGAAGGAAAAGCAACAGTTCTACCATTGTTCTTATTTCTATTTCCCATACTTGCCAATCAATGATACTTCTGTGTAGTATCAATGATACTTACATCTATTCTGGGCTTGGCTGCTATTATGGCCATGATAATTTGCCTTATGGACCTTCCTAATACATAGAGTTTAACTGACTGAAGGACTTAGCTATGCTTTAAAATCTATCTCTGAGGCTACAAATCTCATGGGCTGCTCCCTGCCAATAGCTGAGTGCAGTGGGGATGCTAAGGCAGACCCACTCCTCGGAGACCCAGGACTCTTTGTTGGCTGACTTTGGCTTGGTGACTCCACAATGACTTTGATAAATTTAGACTTCATGGACACCTCCATCCAACCTTCCCTCCTGTCTTCCTTACTCAGGGTCAGATTTCAATAATGGCCTAAGAGGTCTCCCATCCTTCCTGACTACCTTCCAGTTTCCTTTCATCCAAGTATTTTCCCTAATAAAGTCCTTGAATATTTTATCCTTCTCAGCATTTGCTTTTTGGAGAATCTGGAGTAACATAGCTGTCATCCCAGCAGCCCCTTCTATGGCTATGTACTCTGTGGCACTTTTAATTCTGCTTTGTTTCAGATATAACTGTATTGATATCTCTTCTCTTTCCTCACCCTGCCTCACAGGCATAAGGGACTCTGAACTGTCATCATTAATAGCACATTTATTAAGGCCATAAACATGCAGGGTGCTGTGTTGATCACCATTTATTAGCTTAGTCACCTAGCATACACTCATGATCATAGGAAATTCAGAGAGTAGAACAAAATCATTAAATCAGAAAGAAATGAAGGTATTTCATCCTTATGAATCACATTATGGAAATGTTTAGAGGTTTGGCAGCCATGTGAATCCTGCCATTTACTATAACATGGATGGACTTGAAACTATTGTGCTAAGTGAAATAAGTCAGAAAAAGAAAGACAAAAACCGTATGATTTCACTCACACGTGGACTTTTTTTTTAAATGTTTAAATAAGTGTAAAAATCAAACCATACAAAAAGACAGTGGGGAGGAAGGAAGGAAGTAGGGAGATGCAAGTAAAGGAAGTTGACTGTATGGCAGGGATGGAAATTTAAACTTTGATGGTGAGAGTACTGTAGTATATACAGAAATCAAATATAATACTATACATATAAAAATGTAATGCTATAAACCAAAAAATAGAAAAGTCTAGCAGGGCACAGAGAGAGGCAAGAGTCAAGAGGGCAGCTGTCCTTCACTAAAGGGTCTCTCCCAAGCGGAGCAGTTCTAGCCCTCAGGCTGACTCAAGACCCACTGCCCACCACAAACCAGGCTGAGTCTGGAGGGCAACTAGTGCTGGGGGAATGACAACCTAGTCGTGTTCCTGCAAGCACAGGGAGCGCCTGGCCTGCACCATTGAGGAAGGCCAAATTAATCTCCCGAAGTTTCTTCACAGCCAGAAGAAAACCAGGCAATAGGGACCTCCACACGAGGACAAAACCTTCCGATGATCTTGGAGGACAGCTCATGCAGAAACTGGTTTTGAGGGACTCGCCAAAGGAAAGGAGCAACAGACCCCTAACCAGTGATCTTGAGTTGAGATGTCTGCAAGTTACTCTCAAACGGTAGAGTAACTCATGTATATGGAGAGAGTGAGAAAGCAAATGTGGGAAGATGTTAATTGGTGCGTTTAGGTGAAGAATATAATGCTGT